TTCCCAAAATGCCTAGTTTGAAATGAAAATGACAAGTCGGAAAATCGGAAGAGTGAGGTGAGTGTATACAATGCATTTCATGAGATCATATACCCATTGCCAGTTGGACCAGTATTTGTTTCTTTTCTGTTTAGTAGTCAACATGATGAAGGAAATATAACTAACCACAAGATGTTTAGTATAAATACAGACTGTATTACAAAAGACTGTCAGAGTGGTAATGAAACACAACTCTTTTTGCCAATGACACCTGAGAGACATTTCTCCTGTGGCTTTTATGAAGAGGACAGTGGGTTAGCTGGTGGTAACATCTTTGACTTCCCCAAACTTTAAGTCGTTGCTCTCATCTATATATTCAGTAAACACAGCAACATTTTTACCAGGAAGGAGCTAATATAGCCATCCTACACATATAGACATAGAGTATTAGCCATCAAGTCACCTATAAAATTAAAAAACTTTATTAGTCCCTGTTTGTTTGCAGTGCACAGTGATTACATTTCTTGTGCAGAGATGGTGCATGTACATAACGCATCTTCATTCTCTTTTCCATCCCCTCCCTCTTGCAACCCTCCTTGCTCCTTCCAACCCTCGGTCCCCTTCCCATTTAAAAAAACTGTTTCCACTTTTTTCTTTTCCTTTTTTTGGGGGGGCGGTACTGGGGTTTGAACTCAGGACCTTGCACTTGTGAGGCAGGTGTATTGTCACTGAGCTGAAATCCCCAGCCCCCCACTTTTTTCTTCAATTATTATTATATTATTTTTTTGAAAAGGATAAAAAAAAGTGAAGAAATCATCTTTCTGGCATGATGGTTTAATTCTTCTAAGTTCTAAATCATCATCAGCAGCAAAGTTGGTGTCTGTGTAAGCCAGCCTGGCTTGAATCCTGGCCACCAAGTTATTAAGTTTTAAGAGTTTTATGTTTGTCGGAGAACTCAGTTTGGCAACAATCAGAGGTATGCAGTTAGGTTAAGCGCCCTCCAGAATTGGGAGAACTGCACATGACAGCCTCACAGTTGTTCCTGCTTGTAACGAAGATGGGGCAGGTGAAGATGGGAAGAAATAACAAGCAAGAAGTGCTTGTTTTTGATGTTCAGAGGCAACCAGGAAAGCCGTATTTTCTTCCTACTACTAGCTGCAATGTGGACTGAAAGATACTCCCAAACCTTTACAGTATGTTGGGACCCACAGTGCCTGCCAGAGAGGCTATGTGGTAGGGTATTTATCTGAACACATGACATGGCAAGAATGCCAAATCAAGGATCACCCTTTCCCCACACACCTAAATGTATGGATTCCAGTAATCTTACTTTGTAGTTCACAGTAGCAAGAGTGTGGCATTTATTCTAATAGCATTTAAATCAATCACCTATTCCTTATTTATTATAGCTGTTTAAGAAAATTTTGCTGTTTCTTTTTTCATCATCTTTGGAAGCAGTTTTTGCTGGAATTTCTAGCAGAGATTTTTTTTTCTGAGCCTAAAAAAATTTCCCTTGTAATAAACAGATAACTATCCCTGAGTCTTTGAGCATCTTACTATTTTAAAGACTCACAGGGTTGGAAAGTTTGGCTGCCAAATCTATCTTTTTCTTTTTACGTGTAAAACAATACCACACCCTCAACATTTGTGGCTCCCCTAGGAATTTGCACTCACTTTCTAAGTTATAATTTAAACATAGCCATCAGTCTTTATGACATATCTCTGAGACAGGGAAAGATATTTTAATCAAAATAAATACTGACTTCCACCTACGATACTCTCATCCACAGTAACCTGTTTAACAGTAATGCTGATCTTATTGATCACAAAGAGGACATCCTGTGGGGGCAATGAGTATTTCTGTTATTTGACATATATGGCTTTTTAAATATTTGGTCATTACTTTGGGAAAGTGTGCCTGCCTCATTGTCATCCACCCAAATGAGGCCACCTTGGCCTCCTGCTGTACATAAAAGCAGAAGAGAAGAGCAGTTAAGTAACTGATAAAGCATTCAGCACTGTTCTGACCTGCAGCAGTCTTCTGTACCCCAGATCATTTCCTTCTCTAGCTGGACACAACACTGAAGAGGAAAACTTAGTTCCCGGTAAAGTGTGGAAGGAGAAGGAGGATGCCCTGGGTTGGAAGTGTTCAGCACAGTGCCACTGTTTCCCCTGGAAGTTGCTGGAAGGCAGGGTCTTCCTCAGGATATTGTTTGACCATGCTGGGGGAACCCCACAACAAAAATAGACAGCCATGTGAGAATTGGAGAACTATGTCTTGTCACCTCAGGCCATCACAGGGGTGGGAACAGAATGGCTGCAGGTGAGTGTGAAGGAACTTTTTGGATTGGTAAAAAGAAGTTGGATTATGGTAATAATTGTACAACTCTTCGTTGAATTATACTCTTAAAATGAGTGGATTTTCTGATTTGTAAATTATATCTCCATAAAGGCGATACAGATGCCGGAAAGGGGAATCCCATTTGCACTTGGTGCCTGGGTACATGGCACTCTGGAGAGCAGTGCCCTGTCTGCAACTTCTCTGCCTGGGAAGTGGCAGCAAGTAGGAGGAGAGCGCGGATGAGTCAGGGGCAGCTGATCTGCCACTGGGAGGGCACCTGTGCTCACAGAGTGAACCAAATGGCCCTGTTTGTGATGGTGACAAGTCACACTTGGTACCAAGAGCTAAGGCATTTGAAGGCTCACACAGTGAATCAAAGTTTTTCATTGTCAGAAATCTTACTTTGAAACCCTGTCAGCCCGTATCTGTTTTTCTTTCTTTCTTTCTTTTTTTTTTTTTGGTACCAGGGATTGAACTCAGGACCTTGTGCTCACAAGGTAGATGGTGGCACCACTGAGCTAAATACCTGGCCCCATATCTGTTTTTTAAATGACTTCATTGAAGATGAAGATTTGCATAACTATATGAAATCTTTGTATGTAATATCCACATGACTAATTACCTTTTCCTTATATTTCCCATTACTTTATATGGTGTAGAAAATATTTAATGACAAGTTTTAAATAAATTTTCCTACCTCTTAATTTGAGAGAGAGAGAGGGAGAGAGAGAATGAGCATGTTCTTTTAATCCCTGAAGAAAGGTGATGAACCTTTTCAGGGTTTGGTTTACTGAAGACATTGGTGGGTTGTGCTCACTTGTGAAGTTGAGACTTGAGATAAAGCTGCAGGACTCCCTCAGTATTAAGAGTGCAGGAAACAATTGACACTGTTTCCTAATTCACATTGTTTCTGAGGCATTTCCTACTTCCTAGTGTTATATAGCTTTCCCATGAGAACAGTTTGATTACAAATGGTTCGACATGATAAATTTCTCATTGGCACATGTTTTGTGGGGATAATATCACCATGCTTTCTAGTGGCAAGTTGTACATGTGTGCGTGTGTGTGTGTGTGTGAGTGTGTGTTGGGGTTGGGGAGTGCTGCTTCATGTAAAGGTACCTCCAGCTGTATTCCAAGTATCTGTGTTTCCTTTTGAACATTGGCTCATTCACAAAAGGTTCTCCCTTCCTTTATTGGAATTTCTTTCTTGAAGCTGCTTGTAATTCTTTTGATCCCTGCCAATTGAAGGGAACCCCTGTCTGCTTTCTGAGTGGCCCGAGGAGTGACTGTGCAGTAGCCCTCAGTGGTCTATGCTGGGGTAGTATTGCAAACGCATTAGGTTGAGGCCTGTGGTGTTACCGCATCTAGGACACATCTAGGAATGGGAAATGAAACCTGTATATGAGACCATCTAATGTAATTTGCAGGTCAAGAGAAGGTTCATATGTATTACTTCTAAAATGATGAGCCCCCATTCAAAAGTTACACTGTATGGAAAATGAAAGGAAAAGTATTCTAAGTTTAAAAAAATATGGAACTTTGCATTCCTGTTTTTGGGGTCTTACCAGATTTTGTAAAAATAATGTCACTTGTCAGTTTTGCAGCTCCTTCCCTCAAGAGAACTGAAAGTATTTCACAGTATTTTTTTCCTCATGCCCTTCTCTTCAAGGCAATTTTTGCTGGGCTGAGTTTATTTTTATCATTGCAACAACCAGTTTTTAGAAACTTTTAGAAATGAAAAAAGGAAAATGAGAATGGCACTGTAGCTGACATTCATTTTAACTGTTTCCTAGTGTGAGCATTTGAGTATTTCTAAAATCTCTCCAAGTATGTCTTATTTTTCTCAGTTTGTCCCAGTTCTACGTCTCTGTTCTGCTGAATGGGTAAAAAAAAAAGTTATACTGTAAAACCTCATCCTCAGCAGAATGACTTTTTAAACTTTGAGGGAGAGAGAGAGCTCTGTTTTTCCAGCCTCAACAGCACCTTTTCCAGCCCCCCTGTCAGCATAATGGTAGACTAGTGAAAGGTTAGAATGGAAAGGCCTCTGGGCTTCCCCAGTTTAAGCCTTTCTTGGATAATGATGAGGTTGAGGCCAGAGTGGTTATGAAACAAGCTGAAGGTTGTCAGGGTAATCGATAGAGGTTATCAAGTATTTCTGATTTCTAATTCAGTATCCTCTGGTTATAGTAAACAAAATTAGTCAACCTGACAGAACCACTGTGTACCCTCATAAAATTCTAATGCCAAGCAACATGTTGAATTATACTGTAGCTAAACAAATATTGAGAAGAAATTAAATTTTTTTGTTTTCGTTTTTTTTTTTTTTTTTTTTTT